TTTTTTTTTTTTTTTTTTTTTTTTTTTTTTTTTTTTTTTTTTTTTTTTTTTTTTTTTTTTTTGATTTACCCTTACCTGAACTCTCTGCAAACCATGAATTAATTAATTAATCTCATCGCTTGGCTTGTTCTTTTCTTCGTTCCCGCCTCTTAGTGTCTTGGATTCTGTTGCTTGGACGCCCTCCAAGCTCTCCTTGGTACGCCCATGCCCAGCATTTGCCCATACACATTTCGACGCTAATTAGCCGATTAGATTTTCCTTTTTTCAAATTACATTTTTCTTTTCTTCTATTAATCTCGATCCTCTGGTGTCCTTGTACGATTTACAGATATCATCTGATATAAATCCTTTGAACTTTCCAGACCCTAAAGGTAAGTGGGTGGACAATCTATCTAGCTGGCTGCCCCATGACGCATTCATTTACCTCCCCCATCCCTTTGACACCACGATTGACTGGCGATTTGTTAGGTCTTGTAATTGAATCGTGAACGCAAGGAGCAGTACATGCATCCGAAGGTCTCCAATTCTACCTTCATTCCCTTTTCTACCCCCTCCTTTCATCTGCGGTTCGTCCGCTCCGCAAAATGGCAGCGCCCCATACACCCCAGGCCCTTAACGGGTGTGGGGACGAGGACCGCCAGTCTTCTTCCTCGGAGCAACTCGAAGCCGCGTCTGATAAGGTGAAGGACCTCGAGAATCAACGACAGCCCGGGGTGCAGTCCGATTCGGACACAGATGATATCGGAAGACAGATCGAGATGGAGGCGGGTAACTCCATCAAATATCGAACATGTAGTTGGCAAAAGGTACATTCATTCGCCGCGACTACTGTGAGGGAGAAATGGTACTGACCTGCATTGACAAACAGACGGCTGCGCTGCTCTTTTCTGAATATATCTGCTTGGCTATCATGTCGTTCCCTTGGTCTTATTCCGTTCTAGGGCTAGTCCCAGGATTAATTCTGACAGCCGTCATCGCCGGGATTGTGCTTTACACTTCTCTGATTACCTGGTAAGTGAAGTGAATGCGACTCAGTAACCCCCAAGGTCCAATGCTGACAGACACCTCAGGAGATTCTGTCTGCGCCACCCTCATGTTCGCGACGTATGTGATATCGGCCAGCACCTCTTCTGGGATTCGAAGATTGCCTGGTATCTGACCGCCGTAATGTTTTTGCTGAACAACACCTTTATTCAGGTAACGTCTTCTATCATGTTCTCGATACCCAGTACGGGCAAGCCCTAATGCGGTTTTAGGGTTTGCATTGCTTGGTGGGCGCCGAATGGCTCAACACGATTTCCCATCATGGCACTTGTACCATCACCTTCTCTTTCATTACGGCCATTGTCTCCTTCATCTTCTCACTCCCAAGAACATTCAGCACGCTGTCCAAGGTTGCGACGTTCTCGGCACTGTTCACCTTTATATCAGTGATGTTGGCCGTTATCTTCACGGCTATTGAGGATCATCCCGCCAAATACACTTCAGCGAAAGGGGACCCAATTGTGACTGCCGTTCCTGTGGCTGGGACAACGTTCGTTTCGGGCGTCAATGCTTTTTTAAACATCAGCTATACATTTATCGGCCAGATCACCCTCCCCAGTTTCATCGCTGAGATGAAGGAGCCCAAAGATTTCTGGAAATCAGTTACGGCCGTCACCATTGCGGAAATCATTGTATTCAGCCTGGTGGGCGCGATCGTCTATGTCTACACCGGCAACCAGTATATGACCGCCCCTGCGTTTGGCTCTATCAGCAATGAGGTGTACAAGAAGGTGTCCTTCTCGTTCATGGTTCCGACCTTGATTTTCCTTGGAGTGTTGTATGCATCTGTCTCTGCCCGTTTTCTCTTCTTCCGTCTTTTCGACGGAACGCGCCACAAAGGCAATCATACCGTTGTTGGATGGGCTGCTTGGGCTGGAATACTGGCTGTTCTTTGGGTCTTGGCCTTCATCATTGCGGAAGTGATCCCCTTCTTCTCTGACCTGCTGTCTATCATGAGCGCATTATTCGATTCGTTCTTCGGATTTATCTTTTGGGGTGTCGCTTACCTCCGGATGCGGCGCGAAGACTACGGGCCGGGTTTCTATAAGAATCGAGGCTTTCGAGGCTGGTTCGGTTTTATTCTGAATATTTTCCTGATCATTGTCGGTCTATTTTTCCTAGGACCCGGAACCTATGTAAGTTCTACCTCTCAAGTCCAACAGAAATGGCCACGGCTAACAATTCTTTGCAGGCCGCCGTTGACAGCGTGGTCTTGAACTATCAAGCTGGAACCGTGGGTAGTGCCTTCTCCTGCGCTGATAACGGACTGTGATGAGTTTACATTGTGTTTGACCATTTTCTTTCCTTTACTCCTTCTATATTCCCCCCCTTTTTTTCATGTCATGTTTCGGGATAATAACATATGTATCTTCCAACGTGTACGGCCCTGGAGGTTTCGAAATGACTGCGGGAGGACTTGTTTTATCGTTATGAGTGTATTCGGGTTGCAGCAGCTTTTCTGCCAGACTGACTACCTATTTGTGTTATTGTGGTAATGAATCCGAATGGCACTGCAGCGACGAAGTAGCTCTCTCGCAGACGGTTGTCAGGCGTTGAGATAGCCTGACTTCTCAGGACCACATACGGCTCTCTTCCGTGGTCCGGGGTGAGAGATATCATTATCACCCTTTTCGCAGCAGGTTCCGATCCAGGCTCTCTTGATCCACAGTTATTGTAAATATGAATGTTTATCGAGTAAAGGAAATCCGCCCGTCGGGGACGGAGTGACAAGAGTACGGCTTGCCCGCGGAATTTGCCCTATCGGCATGTGACTTTCCCGCTATCGATCTACACTCCGCAATTCTATTCCCTCGTCTTCTGTCCTGCAACTTGCTTCTGTAAAAGATCACAATCAATTTGCTTCAAGTCCTCATCATGTCGACCGTACGACCTTTGCGGCGGGGTATCAACCTCCTGGGATCAAAATCGCTCTCCCAGTCCGCTTCTATCGCCGCCAATGGCTCTACTCTCCTTCCGCGGCAGTTGACAGCTCCGCTCCACCGCGGTCTCCGCGCTCCGACTGCCGCACGCCCATTCTTCCGTGTCAGCTCTCTTCCCGCCCATGGTGGTGTGCGATTTGCTTCGTCTCCGGCCTCCTCGGAGCCGCTGAGGCAGACTCAGCTCTATGATTTGCATCTGGCCCGGGGCGCGAAGATGGTGCCCTTTGCGGGGTTCTCCATGCCCTTGCAATACTCCGATCTCAGCCATGTCGAAAGCCACAAGTGGACGAGAGAAAAGGCGAGCTTGTTTGATGTGAGCCATATGTACGTATACACATACCAATATCCCGATTTCCATGCAATGAGAAACTAATGACGAGGCAGGGTTCAACACGAACTCAGTGGGCCAGGCGCTCTAGAGCTCTTGATGAAGGTCACCCCTTCATCACTCGATAAGCTGGGCCACAACCAATCCACTTTATCTTGCCTACTCGAAGAAGGCACAGGCGGCATCATCGATGATACCGTCATCACCCGTCGCACCGATGATTCCTTCTACTTCGTCACCAACGCCGGCCGGCGCGACGAGGATCTCGCCTTCCTGGAAGCCGAGATCTCCGCCTACAAGCAGGCCCACGGCGCAGACAGCATCAAATGGGACATCCTGGAAGACCGCGCCCTGGTCGCCCTCCAAGGTCCCCAAGCAGCCGAGGTCCTCCAGTCCTACATCCACGGTGAGGGCTCCGAAACAGACCTCAGCACCCTCTACTTCGGAAACTGCCGTTCCCTCCACCTCACCCTGCCCGATGGAACACCCACCCCCCATCCTCTCCTCATATCCCGCACCGGCTACACCGGCGAGGACGGCTTCGAAATATCCATCCCAACGGAAGGCACCACCTCCCTCCCCGCGCAAATCACCGACCTCCTCCTCTCCAACCCCAACCTAGTCCGCCTCGCCGGCCTCGCAGCCCGTGACTCGCTCCGCCTCGAAGCAGGAATGTGTCTCTACGGCCACGACATCTCCACCGCCCAGACTCCCCCCGCCGCAGCCCTCGGCTGGGTTGTGGGCAAAGACCGCCGCGACCCAGCAACTGCCAATTTCAACGGCGCAGCCACCATCCTCCCCCAGCTCGCCTCCCCAGCCAAAACCCTCCCGCAGCGCCGCGTAGGCTTCACCGTCGAGAAGGGGTCCCCCGCCCGCGAAGGCGCCGTCATCGTCGATCTGAACGACGAATCCCGCACCCCCGTCGGCGTCATCACCTCGGGTCTCCCTAGTCCTACCCTGGGCGGGACCAATATCGCCATGGGCTACATCAAGCAGGGCCTGCATAAGAAGGGGACCGAGGTCGGTATCCTGGTCCGTAATAAGGTCCGCAAGGCTTCTGTCGTCGGTATGCCTTGGATCGAGAGCAAGTTTTATCGTGGCTAGGCTTGAATCTGATAGTTAGTGATTGGTTGGTCGTTCCCCCCTTTTGCTTTTTTTTTTTCGATTTTGTTTTCAAGGTGATTCATGCCGTGATGTACATATATTACGATTCCCCTTCACTGCATTTGTGCGAGACAGCCTTCAACCTGTCTCTTGCACATTCAATCGGATATTTCAACGAACGAATTAAAGAATTTGAAAGTATACGTGAATTTTTTCGTTCTTGGTATGAAGTACCTAGTGTGTAGAATTTACTCTAGGTGATGTACTCTTTAAGGTAGTAGCGTTTAGTTCATGCACGCATATTCAATGAGGTCATGATAACTGTCTGTTTCAAAGGGAATAACTACAATAGACCTTAGGAGTACTAATGCTCATATCTATAAGCAGAAACAATTATCTTAACTCAATCAAGTAAAACGGTAAAAAAAAAATAAAAGCTAATTCATACTTCCAAGCTACTGAAAATGAGCACCCCTCGTAGACAACGACGGCGGTAAGTCCTCGTCTCCAGTCCCCCAGCGGCTCTCATTTCTTCCCAACACAAGCACTAACTCCCGTCCCTCGGCGAAAAAATCATGACCCACCCAGTTCTTCAAATAAGGCCTTCCATCCAGCGTCGCGGATTGAATATAGATATTCTCGTATTTGCCGTCGAAGTTAACCGCTCGGATCGTGGCGTTCCGTCCCGTCAGCGGTGAGGTGATGCGAACAGACTCGAAGAAGGGAGCCGAGATGAGGTACACGTTCTGTCCAGGGTTCGGGAAGAGGCCCATCATCGTCATTGCGACAAAGGAGCCCATGGCACCCGAGTCATCATTGCCTGGGAGACCGGCGGGGTTCGCATCGAAGTACTTGGGGATGTAGAAGTGGGCGCGGGAGGTGGACTTGCCGGGATGGCCGGCGTAGTGATATTGGAAGACGGTCAGGAAAGAGGGCTCGTTGCCAATGTATGTAATGCCTGTGTCGTGGAGGTAGTCAAGACGATGGGTGAATTCAGATCGGCCTCCAAGACGAGTGATAAGAGCGGCCATGTCATGAGGGACGAAACTGGAGAGTCAGTGTGGATAACTCGGATAGATTAGTGAACTTGGGACGTACAATTGGTATTCCCATACACTGTCTTCGAACGTTTCGGCGGCATTGTTTTGTAAGGAGCAAGCTCTCCCACTGGTGTCGATGTTGGAACATGTAATTGGATCCTGTATGTTTATTAGCCGTAGAACCTTTCGTATACTGATAAGGTGGTGTAGACCAACCTGATATCCCCAGGTGCCATTCAAGTACTTGGGTTGGAAGAAACCCTTGAATCCGGTATCAGTTCCGTTTACAAAGGAGGTCTGGTCGTCTCGAAATAAATTCTGCCAGAATTGAGAAGTGACCTCGTATTTCTCAGCGTCACCCTGTTTTCCGAGGCCACGGGCCATTTGTGCAATAGTGAAGTCATTATAAGAGTATTCAAGCGTGCGGGAAATGCTCCGGGTCATCGTTCCGAAGCCCTTGTAGTCAAAATCCTCTACCGGAATATAGTTCAGTGACTTCCAACTGTCCAGCCCACCGCGCCCTTCATTTGACCAGTCATACGGTTCTTCTTCAGCATTCTTCTGCACAGCAGAGTAGCCCGCATGCCAATCAATGCCATCAGTGATGCCCTTGAGGTATGCATCGGCAAGGACAATGTCCGCATTAGAGCCACCTTGAGTGTAACCTAGGCCAGTCAGTCCGCCTTTATCAGTAGGGCTAAAGTGCCACACCTTTGCAGAGCGACATGCGGCAGTCTGGAAGCCAGCCTAAATGTCGTTGGGTATCGATTAACGATCGGATCATCCGGCTTAGTGATGTGGGATCAAAGATGGTCAGGAAAGGCAGTTGAGACCGGAATGAATCCCAGAGACTATCTCATTATCAGAGAAGAGTACTATGGGCAGATTGTGCGCATACCAGTAGAAAGAGTCGAAATACGGCTCTGTGCTCTTCCAAAGTGGGTTTTCTCCAGTATAGTCCTGCGGATTGATCATAGTACGGTAGATTCCACTATAAAATGTGGACAGAAAAGAAGAGTTGACACCATTTCTTGACACTCGGATAGGGGCGAGTTTCTTCGTCCATGAATCTACCGCGGCGGAGTGCGTCACATCGAAGTCAAAGTTGGGTATTTCCGCCTCGGCGTTACTACATGCTTGCTGACTACTGATGAAGCTGAGACCTACTCGGGCTAGTACCATGTTGTCACTAGGTGATTGAAATCGAATAAAAGCGCCCCCCTACGCTCGTTAGTTGGGCTTAACATCAACGGGTCCGAATTAGGAACAAACCGGTAAAGGATATCCGTTGATGCTTCTGGAGACCGTGAGGCCCTTCACGTCTGTACTTGCTCGTGAATTAACAAAAACGCCGTTATCTCTGATACCGGAGACACTGCGAAAGTCAACGCAGAAGTATGGAGTGTAAGATCCACTCCCAAAGCTGGGTAAAAAACGAGCATGGCCAACCATCCGCCCCGAGTCAGCATCTACAGCAATAGTCCCATTGTCCTGTCGCGTGTCCGACAAGTCACTAAGATCCAATAGGATAAGGGGGTTCAATTCGCGATCTGCTGGGAAACGAAAACGAAAGAGAGACGTATGGTGGGACACAGTCATATCTACTCGGATACCCGAAGCCATGGTCAATGCAAAGTAACCCGGGCTGGCGATGACAGATCCGGGATCATATCGCGTCTTACGCTGCTTCTTGGGATACACGCAGCCATTGACGTCGTCATCTTTGCAACTCACGTATGGGAAAAGGGGGAAGTTCCCCAGTGAAGGTTGACCTCCAGTGCCCGAATCATGCAGACTGGAGAACCCAGTGATATTACTACCATCATACGCGAAGCCTCCCTGATTGTTCACAGAGTCTGTATCGGCTACAGCTTTCGCCATCCCATAGGGAAGTGTCGCGCCAGCAAAGACGTTCCCTAATGAAGACAGGGAATCAGACGCCAATCACGATGTCATTTACTGCGACCAAGTGGAAAAGTAAGTATACCTCCGTTGGCACTCCCAATAAGTGGGTCAACATATTGAAGTACGTCGTACTCTTCAGGGATTGCAGGGGCGCGAGGGTTAGCGTAGCCCAGGACGGGAGTCGCGATTAAGAACGACCAAAGGACCGATGAAGCCATTGATAACGAGAATTTTCGACAATTTTTTTGTCAATTCACAATGCATAGGAGCATGACAGGAGAAGAGCGTGAGACAATCGATCGATGACAGGGGGGGCCATGGACGATCAAGAATGTTCCTTCCTGGCATGCTGGGGAGAAGGTACTTTATGCATGCCCACCAAGGGGGGAATGAACCCCTGCAGAAATTCCATCTATCCATACTCTGGGAATCTGCAAGTATGATCCTAGTATGTACATTGACCGCAACAATGCAGAATACACTGCAACGGTGAGTATACCCCTGTTGATCAGTGGCTGCATTAGGATCTGTGCGAGACCTTTGAATGGCTCGGACTCCGACCTATTGGGATCACGCAGGAGGTGGCGCTAAAAGCTCATATAAATTCAATAGTTAGGAAAGTCGATATGGCCATCATGGGATTATTTCTTCCCGTTGATCATCGAGAATACCATATTCTCATTTGCGCGACGCCATTATGGAACACCTGATGCATTAATCTTCGAGGATTCTCGGAGAAGGATGAATCCGACAGCGCATGTGCCAAGGTCACACATTCATAAATTTTTATGCGGACCATGATCTTTTTTTTTTTTTTTTTTTTGCTGAGCCTCAACCGTTGCGCGTGACTTTTGCACAGGCTGTTGGTGTGATTCATTGATTGAAATGAGTGTTGAGAAATCCATGGACCGGAGAATGAGCCGAGGTCCAAAAATGAAGTGGTCCAGTGATCCGCTGGCCCCTAAGCCAATCGAATCACAAGTCAATCTTGGAAAGAGATTCAATTTACCAACGCCGGTCTGATAAGCAACGGGTTCCCTCAAGGAAACAGCCCCCCGACAGACCAACGGATTACCTCAGTTAGGGCCGCATTATGGTTGGGAGCCCATAGACGCTGACTCTCGTATCCTCTTGAAGTTGTGATCTAGACCTCATTGTCGCGATGCAACGAGTCCCATTCTCAACCTTCTCTCGGGCTGTCCCCACCACGACCAAGTTCTGTCTCAGGTCGAATGGTCCTATAAAAGCCCAATGGCTCGTGCATCAGTCTCGGAAGGTTCCTCTACCTCATGATCTCTTCCGCCGATTGTATTCTACAGGTATTGCATCCCACAACCCCTTCCACTGTTGCCCATCTGGTTATTCAATGCTAACGTCCCTACCTCGGCATTACCAGGTACATCGTCAATCCCGCCTCAGACCCCTAAGCCTCGATCCCGTTTACGCCGATTCGTGGGCTTCACATCAATTGCGTTAATCGCATTCACTGCCGGGATCGTTTACCAAACACAAAAAACCGTGTCTCGCATGATGACGGCCACTCTGCCCACAGACGAGGAGACCCTCACAGCATTCGTTCCTCCCGATCAGTTTTCGGCAGAGGTCGACAACTTCATCCGCAACCATCCAATCTCCGTGGCGCTGCGGGAGGACTCTGCCTTCACCGAGTCCCGCCCGCATTTGAAGATCCCGGCCGAGCTGCGCGCACGCAATCTGACCGCGGGTACTCTCTCGGGTCCCGATCGAATTGTCGTCCCGCCGTATATCTTCTCTGAGGTAGGCGGAAAGAGCCTTGTCTCGATCTTCTACCTTGGCTCCGCCATCAGTGGCCACCCCGGTATCGTTCACGGTGGTCTTCTGGCTACACTGCTTGACGAGGCGATGGCGCGGTGCTGTTTCCCTGCTCTGCCGAACAAGGTCGGTGTAACGGCCAACTTGAATATTGACTACCGACGCCCTGCCATGGCAGATGCCTATGCCGTTCTGCGGGCGGAGACGGTGAAGGTCGACGGCCGTAAAGCCTGGGTGGAAGCACGCATCGAGACTCTGCCGAAGGATGGCGAGGAGCCCCAGGTCTTGGTTGAGGCGAAGGCTCTGTTTGTGGAGCCCAAGCAAGCTGCAGTATGTTAACTCAATAAGGGAAACCGGACGATGAAAGCTAATGATTACCTCTATCCAGGCTATGTCCAGTCTTTACAAGATCACTAACTAGAGCCCAGCCCTCTTCTTGAGATCGGGCTCAATCTTCTGAAATTTTGAGTACCATGACGCATGCATTCATTGGACAGGCGTATAGACGGTTGGATACTTGTTTGTTTCTATTGAGTTGTACATAAGAGATCGTGGATTTGTGCTAGGAATAGTTTTTAGATGGCAGTTGAGCCGCGTGACAATGCGAGGCATTGCACATATGCATTGATCAATCAAGATTATATTTCACAGATATGAACAATAACCAACCAAGGAAATCATCGGAAAGGTGTAAAGATGAGTATAGGTAAGTAGTAGTAGTTTATGGGCCGTGACCTGGACTTCCCGCCGACCGCCTCCCGAGATCCCGCAAGCTGGGAAGCTCTCCAACACCTTAACTCCACTACAACTAACCAACGAATTCCCCAACCTCCTTGTCCGATCGACTGCCTCCTGCCCGCTTCTCGAGCGTGGCAACAGGTCGTTGTCTTCTATTCGATTTACTCCCCCTCTCATCAGCTCTATTCGGATCTCCCGTCACCATGTCCAAACCAACCAAGTACCTCCTCGTGTCCTTCCCCACCTCCATCACCCCCTCTCACCACCGTGATGATGCGCTCGACGCCATCACCGCAACTGTTGCCCCCGAAAATGGATCGGTCGCCCCGTTCCCAATTCCGGAATTCAAAATCGGCACGTTAGACGCCCTCGTGCAGCAAGCCGACGAGCTGGGCAAACTCGAGACCGCCTGCCAAGGCGTCGTGTCCAAAGTCGGCGATGCGCTAAAAAATATCCTGGAGGGCGATGAGGCGCAGATCAGCAAGATGAAGACTGTGAATGACAGTATGCTCTACTCCGAACCCTTGGGCCGACAATGATCAGGACGTTAACGTTGAATCATCAGAGCCGGTGGACCACTATCTGCGGACCTTCACATGGAACAAAGTCAAGTACAGGGCCGATAAGCCTTTAGCGGAGCTGATTGACCTCTTACAGAAGGTATACTTTTCCGTGGAATATTCAGCTGACTACCCGGTTTTCTAACTCTGCATAGGAAGCCGCCAGCATCGACAATGACATCAGGTCTAAATATGCCCAGTACAACCAAGTCAAGAACAACCTGGCGACGCTCCAACGGAAGCAAACGTGCGACTTCCCCTTAGCCTATCTCAGTGGCTTACTGACGTCTATTCTAGAGGTAATCTGGCCAACAAGTCCCTCGCATCGGTTGTCGATCCTCGCAGTGTAGTCCAGGATTCGGAGTACATCGAGACACATCTTGTTGCTGTCCCGGCTCAGCAGGTTAAGGAGTTCCTTAAGACGTACGAAACCATCTCGCCCATGGTGGTTCCGCGGTCTGCAACTTTTGTCGCTTCGGATGACGAGTTTACGCTGTATGCCGTCACCACGTTCAAGAAACACAGCCCGGAGTTCGTCCACAAGGCCCGTGAAAACAAGTGGATCCCCCGCGATTTCAAGTATGTAGAAGGTGGAAAGGAGGACGAGCGCAAGGAGTTCGAGCGCGTAGGGGGCGACGAGCGCAAGCTCTGGGGCGAGACACTGCGACTCGGACGGACGGCGTGGAGTGAGGCAGTCATGGTCTGGATCCACGTCTTTGTTCTCCGCGTGTTCGTAGAGACCGTCCTCCGCTACGGACTTCCGCTTGACTTTGTCTGCACGCTCATTCGGGTACGTATTCCCCGTTCATTATCTCCTTGCTTCGAGGACTAACATGGTGCAGGCACCGAGTTCTAAGCAAGCGGACAAGGCGAAACACAATCTGGACGAGAAGTACTCGTACCTCGCCGGGAATGCGTTTGGCCGGGACAAGAAAGGACGGGTCAAGAAAGACGACCCGGGCGAGGCGCACGAGGGAGGCGGAGAGTACACAGCGTATGTGTATTACGCGTTTGAGTTCAGTTAAGCGATCCTGTGAATATCTGTCCTGGTATGGTACACTTGATACCTTGTTTTTGTAGCGTATATACTTTACTTCACTTGTCTGCTTCGCATCATACTCCTGATCAAACGAACGACTTCCATCAATAGGAGACCCCCCAAAAAGCCATACAATTCTATGAAACAATAAACCAATCTAACGGTAAATACCCCCAAGAACAACCCACAAATCAAAGGATATCCAAAGCAGATCTACTCTTTAGGAGGCAAATACCCCTTCGAATCCAAATATTCCACAATCTGCCTCACAGCCTCCTTCACCGGCAACTCATGATTCTTAATATGCACCTCCGGCTTAAGCGGCTCCTCATACGGCGCACTGATACCAGTAAATTCCTTAATCACCCCCTCCCTAGCCTTCTTATACAATCCCTTCGGATCCCGCTGCTCCGCAACCTCAACGGGAACATCAACGTAGACCTCAACGAAAGGCAACCCGGTCTCCTCGCCGGGGGTAGGAACCTCATGCAGCTGGCGCGCGGTCTCCCGGTCCGCGCGGTAGGGCGAGATAAACGAGGTGATAGCGATAGAGGCGCTGTCAGCGAACAGCTTCGCGACCTCTGCGATACGGCGGATGTTCTCGTTACGGTCCTTCTCGCTGAAGCCGAGGTCCTTGTTGAGGCCGAAGCGGATGTTGTCGCCGTCCAGGCGGTAGGCGTGCACGCCCCGGTCGCGGAGGAGCTGGTGCTCGAGTTCTACGGCGATGGTGGATTTGCCCGAGGCGGAGAGGCCGGTTAGCCAGATTGTGAGGCCGCGTTGGTTGCGGAGTTCACTGCGCTCGCTGCGTGTGAGGGCGCTGGCGTGGAAGGTGATGTTTCTGTATATTTTGTTAGGGTTGGAGGGGTAGTGTATATAGTGGGGGCTGTGAGGAGGGGGGGAGGTTGTGGTGACTTACGTGGCCATTTTTGAGAGTTTATTTGAAATTGAGGAGATAGGATATGGGGGAGAGAGGAGATAATTGAGGAAGATTGAGGATATAATATAAAAATTTAAATCAATGTAGGAGGGGGGTGAAGAAGAATAGTACGTGACTGTCAATTATTAAATTAATGCCGAAGTGAAACAGCGGGGCGCCGATCGCGGGGAGTGCGTAATCACGCCATTTATTTGGTTATATTTACCTTACTTCTTCTCCTTCTCCTACTACTCACACCTTTAATCATATACATATCATAAATACACTCAGTTTGTCTTTCCAAAGTCCATTCTTTACATCTCTCCTGTGTCAATTGCCAAAACATAGCTTTTAGAAACATATATATCCGGTGAAACATCCAACACAATACAATATAGTTCTGTTTGACTTAATTGCGATGCTGTTGTGGTGAATGGACAATACCAAGAACATCTAAACTTCTCATTACATCTTCGTCTTCCTTTTTCCCTAATACTCCTCCTACCTCTCTATGACACCCCATAATCATATATAAGCTAACAAGAATCCATTTCAACACTACCATGTCAAAGAGAAAGGGCCCCAATCTGTTCTCAAGGTTTTCCTCCCATCCTCAAGAAAGGCACAGAAATCCAAACATTGCTGATCGAAAAGAAGCAGACATTCTACAGCACTCAACTCCAAAATACTATGAGGATAGACATGGTATCGATGAGGAAAATGCCAGTGGTTCCACAGAATCAATTATCCCTACGCAGGATCCGCCGATTAAAAGTGAAGAACGGCACGACGAAGCTAGGCTTTGAGATAAGGCAGACCGCCTAGGAGGCCCTTTCGACGGTGATGAGGGAATGGTCACGAAAGAGGAGGTGTACGCTAGGAACCTTCAGGCCGTGCTCACTGAAGACTATGGCCACCATCTACGAACATGCGTCATATTCAAGCAAGTAGTTGGCTCCATCGATGTTCTATCCGAACCCCCATCTATCATAGCCCTAACAAGGCTTATTGGAGCCAGACTTAGCGACACGAGATGGCGCCTTGGGCACTTTCATTTGGTCCTGGAAATTCCTCAAAAGTGATCCAGATCCCATTAAATTGCTAGATTGGCCATTCCGAGACTATCTTCTTACCCTTGAACGGTACAAGGAATATCATTGTCGGATTGACGAGGCGCAAGCAAATCGCTCCCTCTACCAGAGCTGCTTGAGGGTCATGGCTCGGGCACTACAACGTAATATATGCTTCCTTGAGAAACCGAGTACGCGAATAACAGATATAAATGCCTTGATCGTGAAAGAAATCCTTTCTGAACATGTGCAGTATGTCTGTACTCATTGGGTAGACCACCTTCGACAGGGTGATATTGAGAGATACGAGTATACGGGACTTAATCACTTCCTAACGACTCACCTTATCCACTAGGTTGAAGCTATAACTATTATCGGAAGAATCCATATCGCGGTCAGTATGCGAACTGACTTACTCACTCTTCCAGTAATAAGCATGATAGTCTTCAAAGCTGGACATAGGCTAATGGAGGCAGTTGGAATCTATCCCAAACTTGCGGGAGCTTGTTCATGATGCAGAACGGTTCCCTGTTCGCTTTAAATCAGTTTATGAAGAAGCCCCTTTGCAAATATTCACGTCTGTTCTACTCTTTGCGTCGCAAAGGAGTATCATCCGGTCCAAATTTAGCAAAGAGGTTCCCAATTGGTCTCTGCTGGCATCTGTCAAAGAAATACTGGAGCCCTTTATTACTCACCATCAAAGCACCCTGGAATGGACATATCATAGGCTTAAAGTTCTCACCCGGGAACAAATTAATGATGATGGTATCCACATATTCCTGTCGGCTATGGGGCACATCTACTTGGAGTTGTCTGGAATCATTTGGCAATAGAAAGGATAGTCTCGCACATACTGTATTTGCGCCCGATGGCGAGAAATTGGCAATCATATCGAAGCGGGGAGCCATTCGGCTCTGGGATAGATGCACTAAAGGCTCGACGGATTTTGAATCTCGTTGCGGAAGTTAGGAATCTGTAGTGTTTTCCCGGAATGGCGAAAGACTCGCAGCTGCATCCTATTCTGAGGAAATTCGAGTGTTGGGAACTCAGTACGGGGAACTGCTGCTGATACTTCATCATTATAGTTGGAGTGCCATGCTTTCTATCTCCCCTGATGGGAGGTTTATACTTCTGGCCTGGTGCTGTTGAAGCTTGGGATGTGGTTCATGGAACGGTGATACACACCCATGAGTCATCCTCTGATCTTCATATTATCATACGACGGTCAATTGGATGGCACCATTGGGGTCAGTGCCGGTGAAAAGAAAACGGTGTGAAGCTGGTAGTCATCCATAGGAGTTGAAATAGGAGGCCATTCCATTTCTTTGTTGATTTTGCTACTCTCATTGTAGAAACTCTTATGGGTTCTGTTACTGCCCCTTCTCTTCCCTTATAGTTAAGCTTGGACGGTGACTACAAATATTTACTGAGACATTAGTCTACAGCAAAAGACTACCATTCCTCACAGCCTTGACGTCTTCAAAATTTGTGCGCCTCTGGCGTGTCCACTCATGCATCTTGTCAAAGTTCCCCGGCAGGTGTGACGTGTAGCAGTGTTAAGTATAACCGTCCTATCCACGGGGGTCCATTCCAGTGGGGTGAGATCAGCATGGCGCTGGATTGCCTGGCGTAGATGGTTGATGCAGTGCCCTTCATTTGTGAGCAAATTTAATTGCCACGAGGAAGGCGTGTGGGTGACCAACGAACCTATATGGTCTTCACGAGATGGGTCGTCTGGATGGTTAAGACGTCGTAGTAGTTGGGATACAATGCTTGACGAAGTCGGTTCTTGAACGTCATTACGTTAGCTGCTCCATCTCACCAGGCATCCTCTAACTTCCCTGTATTTACCAAGCAGTGAAGAGAGTAGAAAACTTCGAGCCTGAAGTAACGACCTAAGCCTGGCCACTGGATTGTTCTTCCATCCATCTTAGCGTCCGAACCCTTCAGATCAATGTTTAGTCCTTGGTTCATTGTAGCGAGTTGTAGCGAGTCAGTAGTTGTATAGTCAACATTTTGCACCATCTCATCTATTATAAATAGAAAAAGCCAACCAGATAGAAGAAGACCCCACGCGCGATCAATCTCCGGTGTTGGGCTTCCAACGTATTCATGGCCTCCATGGTCTGCGAAATAGTTTCCGTTCTCATCTAACTTGACCCCGTCGGTGAAATCATATTGTATCAACACGATTTTAGGCTTAACGGCTCCTATCCACGTAGCATTAAACTCAGATTGAACAATACCATGCTGGTATGCGGCCTTGACCTAGGTCTGAAGCGAGCCCGTTCTCATACGACGAATGGCTTGTTCGCGTATAGAGATTGCTGGCCAAGTACACCGAGCCAAATCCGACCCAGAATATATTTAGCGAAATAGATAAAGCGATAGGGAATTGTGCGGTTCCCTTACATCGATGGTGCTTAGGCTGTGAAGGGTTCGATTGTTTTAGGAGACTGGCGGATTCGAGTTCGCTTATTTCGTCTTGGTTGATCATAGCGGTTGCTTGGGTGTAGTTTCAGTGAGCGGCAGAGAAGAGCTCCGAAAGATTTTGCGTATCAAGCCTGTCACTTGAGTAACTCGTTGATTTACGTGGTCACTGTAGACTTACCACTAAGAGGGCTTAGTATAACGTAACGCATGGTAGATTATTCTGGTGGCTTATGGGATCGAATCGAATCACGTAATAGGACCTGTATAGATAGTGCTAACAGAGATCTAGTTGAAAGCCTCATAGCCTATCGACTTGGAAACCCCTAGATATCCTATTCGCAAGATCCTGTTCCCTAATGTATTCGTCAGATGTCTATATTCTCATCAAAATATCCATGTCACTCAAATCAACCCCACGACCAATACAGCCACCAAAGGCCGACGAAAGAAGAAGATGACGAAAACGAGGAGCTTCACCAAGGCCCCCAGCACCACGCCCTATACCATGGACATGGTGGTGCCTACTAAACGCTGTACTCCTCGTGGTTGCTTTGCTTGCTATCTGGAAAGTAGCGACTCCACCACTTACAAGCCTCCACAACTTGACCTTAACAGACGACAACAAATCGTTCCCGTCCGGGCAGTTGACTTGGTCGCAGAAGTTCACCCCATTTCCTTGCGGCAAGTCTCCAGCCGGAACATTGTCACGAGGCTGCCATTTTGATATCGTTCCCACCGCATGGATTCCACCGAAGAGTATCGACAATGAACCAGTATCTAAGGGTTTGAAAGAGGCCTGGATCATTAAACGACACTCGGACATTGCCCTCATTGACTCCTCCTACTCCCCCTTCTCTTAACGTAGATAGAAATTCTTCCAGTAATCCATCCAACTCTCCAGCCGTAAACCAGACACCCCCATCGTTTGACTCGACCAAGTTTCTCTGAAACTCGGCCTTAATCCAACTAGGCCGCGACTAAATCTCCCTAAACCGAACCCTCTGGCAACCAGACGACAATTTCAAGCCATGTCAGATATACCCCATATATTTCTTCTTCAGTAGACGATAAGATTCCGGATCTAGATCCAGATCATCAACCCTTTGGAAGACGGCATCAACCAGCGCAAATAAGCCATCATCCATCGTCGTCCCGACATTGAAGCTATCAAGCAGATTCCAGGACTCGATGGAGGTATTCCTCAGCTCGGGGTTGGTCGAGACGGCTCTATAGAAAACAAGGATATGGGACTTGGAAGCCAGAACGTCGTCCATGTGAGCAAGGGGTAGAATGACATTGGTAAAAGTTGCTGTGTTAGCATCTACGTTTCTTTTGATCTGGGTGTGGGCTTCGCGGGCATGCTTGACTAGATCCTTGGTGTCATGGATGATTGAAGTTGGGGTTGCTGTGAAGGTTGGAGGTGGTTGGGGTGAGTTTTGTCGCTTTGAGGCCATTTTTGATGAGCTGGTGGAGGGTTTTTCTTTTTGCTCTGTACGGAGGAATTAGAGTATTTGGTGCTGATTTAATCTCTCATCTATAAACCTATTATTAGGTTTGTTGTGATAGTTATATATTCTTACGTGATCTGTTATTGTCATCCTTTCCGGCACCCGCGCGGCCAGAGTATTCTTGTAAATTTCTAATTTAGATTGACATTTGTTGATCCACTATCTATTGCAGGGCATAAAAAGAGCTGGCGACTCCCGACATTAGGAGTGAGCCCAAAAAACATAGAATAAGTGTATACTTTTACATATGCTTAGCTTCTAGTATCCTGCAGATAATCAAGCCTTCAAATGCCCTTCACATGCAGCCTAGCCGCATTCTTATACAACAAATCTGGATTCGCGGCATCTCGATCCCTTGACCATTCCTGAAATGCATCGTAGCCGCGACAGCTCTGAATGGTCTCAAATATGGGCATGATCCAGTTCCTGTTCTCTGACCATTTAATGGGAATGAGTGTCATATCTCCGGCGCACATAAGGCTTAAGTCGGATGGCATCGATGCAATGTTCTTTGTAATTTTTGTTATGACTCACTAGCAATCAACTTGTTTTGGCGCATTAAGGAGTGAGTAGGGGCACGGGATATCATACCAGTATGAGGTTTCCATGTTGAATCATACATTCCGGAGTAATAGTCCAGATATAGGGATTTGCGGAGCATGTTCTTGAAAGATCAGTCCCAATGAAATAAAGAGTGCTCTGATTGTGGCAGACTTACCAAACAGTGAAGGCCATGGAACAAGGACACTCTTTTCATGCGTGTTAGATGTATCTTCCCTTCGTTTCCTTAATTCAAGGAGGAATATGTCAACATGTCGCTTACAGTGCCATGTGCAACCCGGTTTCAGGGTCAAGCCATAAGCCTTCTCCCAACTGACTTTCTTCTTTGGGAGCCACGAAGACAGTTATAGCTAGAAATACTCACTAGATTGTCTCGTGTTGTAAGTTCATGTGTGATATGATATCACTTCCACCCGAGGAGGTCTTTCCCTGCGGCATCAATCTCCGGACTCGGCTCTCCGACATAAGCAGGCTGGGTGACAGGACGATATAATTGATGGCTCTCATTATATTTTAAAGTAGCGTCGGATTACACCTGATTCATTGTGGCGGGTATCTCCTTCGTCGCCGTTGCCTCGTCATGATCAAGACTCATTTCCATCGAAATAATCAACTTACCGAATTCGCTATCACTCCAGTATCCATTCTGGATACATAACTCTGGAGACTAGCAATCGGGGCTCCTAGACTGACCAATAGGACTAATGACACCTACCATGGGACCGTAGAAGAATAGAGCTTTCCCTGTGACTTGCCATTACGGCAAGTTTGGGTTTCGTGCAGATCAAGATCTGGAAGATAATCATCTTTTAACTCTAGATAAGTTTCGGAGCTGGATTCATGCGACCGTTTTACTGTTCTATGCATTATGCTGTATAATCAAAGATCTGGCGTAAATTGAAGGTAATAAAAGTGTTCAAAAGATATATCTGTCTTGCGGATTAGGGTTAAGGATTATGTGGGTGTGCTAATGTGAGTTCAGTTCTTACGCCATTCCTGCAAAAGCCCTAACATCTCCGATCGACCTCCTGAAGAAAAGGAAAAAGAGAAGAGGGCCTTTCTTGCGGACAATTTACCAAGCATATATGCGCTTATTCTACGACCTGCAATAAAACCGTCCAATCTTCAACAAATGTTCCCTCGGTGGAGTCTGCCCTAAAGACATGGGTTGGATATGCTGGCTGCTGGCTGCTGGGTGAAGGGGTAGATGGGGGGTGGCTTAGGGTGGCAATTACCGTGTATGATACCAGCATGCTGACAGCTTTTTCTCTATTATTTCGGTCTTTTTCTCAAACAGGGTGCCAGCTCAGCGTGGTCTAAAAAAACCTCGGCGTGGTCTAAAATTCTGCCACCACCACCACCGCCTTTTTAGACCACGATGAGCCTTTTCTTGGCATATGCTCAGCGTGGTCTAAAACTAAATTTTAACCAAGTTTTAGACCATGCTGAACCCCTTCACTAGAGCTTGACCACGTTGACCTTTTTGGCTTAGCGCCAGTCTCCCGGTCGGAGCATACTGTAGGCCCATCATCATTAGTGTAAAAGATTCTTGTTCCTGTATATCATCTTTAGGATCTGACAGAGTAGATCTAGTATTAAGTATACTACTATAATTATCTCTAGGAGACTCCTGCACCTCAGTCTGAGAATTAGGTACCTGAGTATAAGTTTGGCATATGCCCAGTGTATAACGAGTATATACCTGAATTGGGATATTGTTGATCTATTGTACTATTCTTTCTGTAACTTCGGTACTAGCCATTGTTATGATTTGATAAGGACAAGCCTATACTGAGTATATGCAGAAACAATACAATATATTATGCAGTAGAAATTTATTAGGGCTATGCCTTACCTATTATGGTGATTAAGCCCTAGTGTATATGCTCAGCGTGGTCTAAAAATCTTCCAAGTGTCTCATCATGGTCTAAGAATACTGACTAATCACTTAGACCACGATGAGCCTTTTCTTGGCATAGGCTCAGCGTGGTCTAAAAAGGGCGGTGAATCTCGGGGCAGAATTTTAGACCACGCCGAGGTTTTTTTAGACCACGCCGAGCTACCACCCCATACTCGGAATCACATCGGATTCATTGCTCAGGTATAATAGTATCGCAACGCAAGGCAGCTAACACTCATAGAGCTCTTGCCCGAATACCCAGGCGTAACAATATACTCTATAGATATATCTTTTTAGATCTAATAGATCAGGCTTAGAAGTAAGATAATCGGGTAATATAAATAAATCCTTATATAGAGCTTACTATAGTGTTTTCTATTCTATAGTTCTGATAGATATTTAATTCAGTATATATATGGCAGATTTTATGATTTTAGGTTACAGTGGGAGGTGATTGAAATTTGGAACACTCGCTTAAGGTTTAGTGGCCGATTTAGGGACCGCCTACCAAACTAGGACTATTCTGCCAGGCAGAAACTTCATGAATTCCTATCCTAGTATTTAGTATACCAGCCCTGGGCTTAGGATGACCATTGGGATGGGATGGGACGGGAATCCCAACCCTAAAATCCCCACAAAACAGGATTCCTATTCCAAAATCCCAAAATCCTAAAATAAAATAAAAAATACTTTAATACATAGAATATAATAATTAAAAATATTAACTAAAGTTAAATTTATTAAAGTCTAGATATTATTTATATAATTAAATAAAAGACTTATTACTAATTTTATTTCTATTAAATATAGCTTTTTTAGTCTCTATTCTCTCTTTTATCTCTTGACTGTTATTATTAGAAAATTCCTATACTAGCTTTTTCTTATTTTTAAGCCTACTATCTATTATCTTTGATAAAGTAAGTTTTAGAATTATAATTTTCTTAATTATATCTTAAAGATATTCTTGATAATAAAAATATATTTACTAGATATATTTAAAATTATAAGAATATCTTATACCATTTATATAAATAGGCCTTAGAAACTTCTAGTATTCTAGAATATTATTTAATTCTTAAAAAAAGTTATAGATATTACTTAATCTCTATAGAGATCTTGTTTTATATTAGAATCTATAGTTATATAAATAGACTGTTAATATTCTAGAGAATTAAATATAAATATTAGTATTAATAAATTTATATACTAAAAAAAAATATATAAATCTATTATCTTAATATATTTATTATCTTTATTATTCGGCTTATACTGTACTAGTTTATATTAATAATAATATAATTAATAAAACTTTATAATTAGTTTTATACTATAACTATTTCTATATAGTCTAATCTTTAGAATTATAAGTTTAAAGTTAGTATATTAGATTCAGAATAGTAGTAATAGTATATATTTTACTATGCCTTTATAATTTAAGAATAATAAAGAGACAGTTTCTCTTTTATAATAGATAGAGTATTTTTAAAATAAAGTTTTAATTATCTTTAAATTAAGTTTGTTTTTTTTAATTTTTAAGATACTAAAATAGATGATTATAAATCTGCTATATATAATAAATTATAATTGCGTTTAATACTAAAATATCTTTAGTATAGTAAAAAAATAGTAGTAAAATAATAATAAATTAAACTATCTTTTACTCAGTTTCAGTAATAAGAAAAGACTGAAATTTTAGATTTCTATAGATAATTATCTATTAATAAATTTCTTTCTATAGAAGTATATAAATTACT